GGACGCCGGCGGCGCCATGGCGGCCGCCAAGCCCAGCGAGCTCATGGGCATCTGCTCCAGCTATCAGGCGGTGATGCCGCACTTCGTGTGCCTGGCCGACGAGTTCCCGCAGCCCGTGCGGCCAGCCAAGCTGTCCAAGGGCAAGGGCCGGCTGCGGCGGCCGCGCCAGTCCCGCTTCAAGACGCAGCCGGTGACCTTCGACGAGATCCAGGAGGTGGAAGAGGAGGGGGTGTCCCCCATGGAGGAGGAGAAGGCTAAGAAGTCGTTCCTGCAGAGCCTGGAGTGTCTGCGCCGCAGCACGCAGAGCCTGTCGTTGCAGAGGGAGCAGCTCAGCAGCTGCAAACTGAGGAACAGCCTGGACTCCAGCGACTCCGACTCGGCCCTGTGAGGGGCGCCGCCCGGAGGGGGCACAAGCGCGCTTCCGCGGCCTGCCCGGGGGCCCGCGGATGCACACCAAGAGGACCCGAGCCCCGCGCCGGGGGTACCCCCTCAGGACCGGGGATCACCACCCCTCGCGCGCTTGGACTCCCGCCCCGCTGCGAACTGGTGGGTGCGCCCTCCGCTGCGCTTGCCCTGGCTCCGGCGCACTCGGGGACGCCAGGGAGGGGGGCTGCTTTCTTTGCCCTTGTAAATGTTTATTTTTTAACTCTTCCCAGTACGAACTGTGAGTGTGTGCGGGAGGCGGCCCGCGCTGACATGCCCGGGTCTCGCCCGGGTCTCGCCAGGGTAGCCGCTCCACGCCCGTGTCTGATGGTTTGCAACTCCGATTTTGCACACCGCTCCACCGTGCCCCCCAGAGCACACCTGTTCACACTCACGCCAACACTCTCTCGCTGAACACTTTTATAATTGTTAGGCGGGCTGATGGGACTTTGGTGCGCAGCGCGGCTGCTGCTGCGGCCCGAGGATTGATATTTATTTTTGCATTGCAACTGCTGGAGGCGTTTATTTAACGATCTTTTTACCCGGATATGTCTGTGAGGCTCCTGAATGGAGACAAATAAAGTCAGTATATTTGCACAGTGTATTTCTCTAGGCTGTTGACTTCTTGAACCTTTGAGGCCCAGGCTCCCAAGACAGTGGGAGGTAAGGGAGGAGGTGAGGAGATCAGCGAGGCCCAAGTTGGAGGTTACCCCACATGCTTGTCACCGAACGAAGTCGATTCCCCCTCCCCCTGTCCCAGGTGCGCGGCATTAACTTGCCTCCCTAGGTGGGACCACGTTCAGCCCAGGGTGCTCTGCCTCCCAGGTCTGTTCCTCCTCGCTGGCATCCGGGTGAAATGAAGCCGCTGGCGAGCCGAAGGCGGCCCTTTGAGGATGGAGAACGTCCTCCCAGATGCAATTGACTTCTCAGAGAGGCCAGGGTCCCGTCCTCTCCTGTCACCTAGCACAGAACATCCCTCTTAGCCTAGCCTTTTCCTGGCAGTGGCTTGAGGGAGCTACGAATCCTGGGGCAAGCAATGGGAAACTCAGAAGGGGGTGCTTGGACGGTGGGGCCCGAGGAAGAGCGAGAGTGTGGGTGCACACACACTGTGGGATGTGGGTGAGGGTCTCGGGCTGTCCCATCCCGGCGCTGACTCAATGCGCTGTGGGAGCAAACAGCTGCGGTTCCTGATCTCAGGCTCCCTCTTCAGCCCTTCTCCTTGGTCCCCTCCAAGGTTCCGCAGAGCGGGTGGGGCTTGTCTTTGGTCTAAGCCTTTACAGTGTCTGGGTATCACTGGGCACACCCCATCCCCATCGCAGGGCCTTTGTTTACAGACAAGCAAACAAGGGAGGGAAGGCCACGTGGAGAGGAGTGCTCAAGGCCAGTGCAGGCGCCTGCTCCAGCTCTCCTTCCTTCCTAAGCTCTTTCTAGCCTTCTTCAGCACCTGCCCCACACCCCTGTCTACATTCTAAATCCTCTGGGGTACCAGTGTAGCTGTGTCACCTGGCAGTAGGTGGCAACCAGGGTGACAAATGATATTAGGGTGAGGAGGGTGGGATTACTCCATGCCTGCCCCAACCTGGCTGGGCTTGGGGCAGGGAGAGGGAGGCTTCTACTCCAGCTCCAGGTAGCCCCTTCTCTGTGCTTGGGTGCCCTCTGGTGGTGGGGGCTGGTGTGTGTGAGTGTGTGTGTGTCTGTCTGTCTGTCTCTGGGGTGAGGGGTAGTTCCCTAGCAGCGACTCTGATCTGCCTCTCTCTTGGCACTCCACCTCTTGAAACCCTGGGCTCTGTGGACAAAGAGGAGAGGAAATGAAACAAACAAAAACAGGCCTGAGAGGATGTCCTCCCCCTCCCCCAGCGCAGAGACGGGAGGGTGGGCTGTGGCCTGTTGGCTGGGGTCTTTGGCCCCTGTCCCAGCTGCTGAGAACACACTGGCCATTGCAATGGCCCCACTGTGCTGGGGGATATGACAGGAGGCCTTTGGTTCCAGAGCCTCACTCTTGTGGGTTGACTGCAGGCTCTGCAGCTGCCACAGTGGAGCTGGTTTGAGCTCCGGGGGTGGGAGGGGGGACTGAAGCTCTGACCTCTCCCCAGCCCCCTTCTCTTCTCCCAGCAGAGACCTAAGGGCAGAGGGAAGGAACCCCCTTCCTGCCTCATCTTTGGCAGGAGCTCCTGCTTCTACTTCAAGAGCCAGATGCTGCAAGAGTCTGGAAGACACCTCCACCCCGGCTCCTTGGGTCACCCTGGCTGGCATTGAGTGTCATTGCAGGGATCTGTCCCCTCCTTCTTGGCAGCTGGCTGGACCCAGCCCTGGCAGCTGACTGGCTGCTTTTGAAATGTTTGGTAAAAACCAATAATGGGGCAGCGAGGAAACTCGGGGCCCATCTTGCCTACTTCCTAGTTTTCTTTTGTCTTTCCATGAGTGTGGCACTGGGGATTGAACTCAGGGGTGCTCTCTACCACTGAGCTACATACCCAGCCCTTTTTAGTTTTTGGTTTGAAACCGGGTAATGCCAAGTTGTCAGGCTGGCCTTGAAGTTGTGATCTTCTTGTCTCAGCCTCCAGAGTCACCCGGCCCTAGTTTATTTTAAAATGATTCTAGTTTTTATTACCCAAGAAATATTTGTTTATTATATTGCAAAACAAGTCACTCATATACTACCCAGAGGTGAATGGGTGAATATTTGGGGTTCAGGCCTATGTATGCATTTTTGTTTTCTTTGACTAAACAGGTTTATGCTCTCCGTGCTGTTTTTCAACCTGCTTCTTAAATTAATTGGATTTATGTTTATATCAGTATTTATGAAGCTATGTAATGGTTTTTGTAAAATTCTGTTGAACAGATCTTCCACACTGAGTTACACTAACTCCCCATTCTTAAGTGTGAAAGTGGTATCCTGTTTGTCCCAGTTTGACCTAAACTGGAAGTTCTGAGGAGTAATGTAGAAAGAAGTCTAAGGCCGTGACCCAGAGAGGGACTGGGTGAGGGACAGAGGGGCTGGAATGCCAGGGTTGGAGGGAGCAGGCCCTGAGCATGCTGGGGGCCACAGCTCCTGGGCTATAGCAGGAGAGCTCTGCTCTGCACAGGAAGAGAGAGGGAGGCCTGGGGACAGGAGGTGCCGGCAGTTGCCCCCTCTATTCCCCCATGCACACATGCATTCCGAATCCAGAGAGGCGGGCTGAGAGACCAAGGTGGAAGAGGAGGTCAGAATCAAGGAGATGGTGGTGAAGAAGCAAGAAAGCCAGGGAGTCAGAGAGGTGGAGAGGAATGAGGTCACTTGGGAGAAAAGGTCCTGGGAAGTGATGGGAGGTGAGACACATGGAGGTGGAGCCCGAGCACATCAGAGAGAAAGAGGGAAGAAGGGCCACCTGGGGAAGGAGAGGGTGGGAGACAGGGAGGGTATGAAGGGCCCAGGAGATGGAAAGCAGTTCCCTGGGAGTGCGGCAGGAGAAGGAAGAGGAGCCAGGCGTGTGCAGGAGGGCAGCCGGGCCTGTGGGTGGACGCCTGCCCAGCATCGGGATTTACAGGCCCGTCCAGGGAGCTGCTGACTTCCTCCGTCCCCGCCTGGCCTCGGCCCATGATCTAGCCTGGGTGATGAGTTTCCAAACAAACTGGAGCCCAGACGGGGCAGAGTAACAAGTGACCATCTCTGTCCTGGCTGGCAGCCTCTCCTAAATATTTTTCTTTGGCCCTGGGGAAGATATTTATCAGGGTGTTTCTTGGACTGATTTAAAAGCGAACTTAGCCTTGCAGGCCACTGCGTGCCAAGTCTGGGCTCGTGTGGTGTGGGGTTGAGATGGAAGGGCTGTCTGCAATCCAGGGAACTGGGGTCAGTTTTGGGCTTGGGAGTCCTCCCTCTGGAAGTTCACTGGGTGTAGCCCTTGACCTTTTAGGCTCAGGAAGAATGGAAGGGTGGGAGTAAAGGCCATCATTTAGTGGTTACTTCATGTGGGAACTGTACTTTTATCCAGAAAATGTTTTCCTCTGCATTTCACAGAAAGAAAGGATCAGAGAGTTTGAGTTTTTTGACCAGTGCCACACAGCTTCTCAGTGGTGAGCTGGATTGCAAACCAGCACTATTTTTTTCTTAATTCCAAAGTCTATCTTTTTCTAGAGTATGAATTCACATTTCTTCCTCCATGCTTCTGTGGCAGCCATGAGAAACAGGCGCGTTGTAGATCTCCTGCCACAGGAAATATAACTGCCTGAGAGCCACTCTGGCTTGGAATCCATCACCTCTTTTGGCTAAGGCACACCTGCCATGGGCTGTAGCTGTATGTGCTGGGATTCGGAGGCAGAGCCATTCCTGGGAGACATGAGGATTTCCTGGTCGGTGGACTTTGCTCAAGGATTTCCTGGTGCTCTGCTGTGACTTGCATAGCCTGCAGTGCTGTCTAAGGACTCCTTTCCCCACTCTCCTCACTCACGTTCACTCTTGTGTTGCTCCCTGCAGGCCATTCCGGCTCCCCCGGCTCCCTCCCTGCTTCTCGGAGAGTCTGGGCTAGGAAGCTCTTCCAACCCCCAGTAGGTCTCTCCTGCTTCCGAGCCTTTCCCTTGGTCCCCACTTTGCATGGGGAAGGACAGTGGGCATCATTTTAGGGAGAGTTGCAGGGACATGGCAGAGTTTACCAGATTAACACGCTTCATGATGCCTGCTGGCCCTGCATTTCTTGATAAGCACGTTGTGATCATGTGTGTACAGATGAGGGGAGGTGCGGGAGGACCCCACATAGACAGTCGTTCTCTCTATCTAGGTCATGCCCAAGGCCATGTTGACTTACCATTGATCCATCCAACTCCCAGACCCTTGGTGTAGACTGCCAGTTGTTCAGCAATACTTCCTTCATGGCATGCATCTGGTATATATGTCCCAGACTTTCTTGTGTGGCCTTAGGGTTGTGGCTGTACCTTGTCCCCCGCTCCCATCACACTCTCCTTCCCCTTCCCATAAATGGGAACTTGCATATAGCAGCAACCCAGTGGAGATCAAGCTGATGGCCTTGGAGATGACTGAGAAATAAGATGGAAGAACCCTAGGCCCCTGAGTGACCCTGTGGAACAGAACAGTCTGCCCATCTGGAATGATTGCCATGAACTTCTACACACGACGGCACACAAATCTGTCTTCTTTGAGCCACTGTATTATTGCTGAATGTCTGACAGCAGTTTTCCCAAACTGCGAACACATAAAAGTTAGAACTGGCAGTGGAGCTCCAACCTCACAAAACCCCTCAAACACGAGGCAGGAATTTAGTGGTTTTGCTGCAAGCAAGGTAAATATATTGCAGGCTGGAAAGTTGGAGATCCTTGTTATCCCTCAGCAAAGCATTTGGTGAGACCATTTTTATGATGATTTGGAAGAATTCTCATATATGTCAACTGAGGCAATATCCTTAGAAGTCATGTTTGGAAAGAACCAGAATATTAGTATCCACTGGCCGCTGTGTGTGTCTTTTAATAGATGATTACCAGATAGACAGCACAGGGAGGGCCTGGGAGCACTCGCCTCTTAGTCCACACAAAGGTGAAGGCTCTCCCCTCTGTAGCCCACACAGCAGGAGTTCAGGCTGTGACTGCTTAGAGCTTTCTCAAAGGCCACCCAAG